CTGGCATGTGGTGCTGGGGGATTGAACCGTGGTCCCTGTGCTTTGCTAAGCTTGTTCCAAGTAGGTGCTTTAGACCACTGAGCCATCTCACCAGCCCCCCACTGAGCCATCTCACCAGCCCCCTACTCTCCCATCTTTGTTTTTTTTTTTTTTCCACCTTTGTTTTTCAGATAGGGTCTTGCTATGTAGTCCAGGCTGGCCTTGAACTCAAGAGATCATCTTACCTCAGCCTCGAAAGTGCTGATACAATAGGCATACATCACCATGTCCAGCCCTCAAATCTCTTAAAAATTTATTTTGAGACAAGGTCTTACTACACCATTGCATAGCCCATGCGAAACTCAAACTCAATGACTCTCCTGCCTCACCCTCCTAAGTACTGGCACTACAAGTATGCACCACCATGGTAGACTCATTACTTATTTTTAATTTTTTTTACTTTTTGGCCAGCTCAGCCCACCCTGTGGGCACAGTATGCAGTGCCGGGGATCGAATCATGGTCCTCTGTGCCTGCCTAAGCTAGCAGGAGCTCTAGACTGCTGAGCTATTTCACTGGCCCTAGGCTCATTATTTAAATGTATACATTTTAGCTACATTGTATCCAACAGTACTAATATCAACTTTAATTATGCTTATGTGTCAGGCTTGGTACATTTGCTCAACAACTTTGTTTAAATACTCTTTTTTTTTACAGAACCAGGGATTGAATTTACGGTCTTGAGCTTGCCAGGCAAGTGCTTATTCTACTGAGCTATCTCCCCGGCCCCTAAATACTACTTCTTATCCTTATTAGTTGAGGTGGAAAATCTGAAGGAAATTAGCCAAAGTCATCCAACTAGTATAACAAGCAGTAGCGCAGTAGTCTGGACCGAGGCGCTCTGGCTCCCAGTGCTGTGCCCCTAACTACATCATTACACTGCCCTCGAAAGCCATGCCACCAGAAAATGAAGTCCACAGGGGGAGCATGAGTGATTCACTGCACAGGGCAGAAAAGACAAAAATGAGGGGCTGACGAGTAAGAAAGGTTTCTATCTTTACATAGTCTTATAGCCTGAGAATGCACTTACTCAGAAAAGCCTTTCCACTTCAGCAGATACTCCACTTGCCCCTTAACCACGCGCCTGTCTAACACTTTCTCCACGACATATTCCTCCTCATCCTCTGAAGAAGAACTGTCAGCTGTCCTCTTGGTTTTCTTTCCCATGTCGCACACCGTTCCTCCTGAAGGACTAAGGCCACCGGGTTCCTGCAAAGGGGAAGGACACAATGGTTACAACACAAGTCAGGATTAAAGACTGTCTTGATGTCGAGAAGGGCAGAATACCAAGTCGCCAGGTACCCTTTTCCTGGATCTATAATCATTACACAGATAACTCCTAAGAATTTACTTTTTAAAAATAAGTCTTCGCTTCTCAAACTACAATTTTCTTTTCTATTTTCTACATGAATTTAGGACAGGGTGTATAGGGTGTACAATCTCACTACATAGATCAGACTCTCATAGTGATCCTCCTGTGTTCAGCCTCCCAAATGCTGGGATTACAGGTGTGCGCCACCATACCCAGTCTCAATTGCAGTATCAGGGCACCCTGGGGGTGGGGCCAGCATGGCACATCAGAGTCAAACCCTGGCCACTGTGCTCTGCCAAAGCACGCACTTTACTCTGCTGAGCTATCTGGCTGGCCCTTACAATTTTCTTTAAAGAGATCAAAATTATTGGGTGGCATAATTGTCAAACTCCTTTATTTTCATATTCCAAATGATAAATAGTATAGTATATATCCTGGCTCCTTTTGTGTTTATAAATCAGGGACTCAAAAATGAGGTAAACCTTTAGGAAAATTTTTCTAAAGACAGAAGAAAACCTTTCCCTCCAATGTGAATAAGAGTTTATAAAAATGAAAAAAGAAGTCACCAAAATGTAAATTTACTGAGCCTCTTGACTGGTCTTTTAGCAAGGTTTAAAAAAAAAAAAAAAAAAAGCCCACTTAGGACCTTTCATCACGTTTCCAGTGACTCGGTACATTTCCCCTACACAAACTAAGTTTGTCTGCGTTAGCACATCCATCAGCTCACAGAAGCGGAGCTGACATCTCAGACACACTAAGTCTCCTTTTTAGCAAGCTCATCTGGGGATGGGAAAGAAGCAAGGGAGGAAAAAAAAATTTAGTCTTGAAATTCACAGTCACTGGATTATTCAGTAATTCCCAGGGCTCAACTAACCCAAATAGTTAGGAGGTACCTCTCCTCTTCACTGAAGCTGACTTTGGGCCAAAGGAAGAGGAGGAGGGAAAAAAGTCTGGCTCCATCCAGACTCAGCATCAACATGAAGGCTCCTCAAAGCACAGAGGAGCCATTCATAGCACAGGGAAGCTGAAGCAAGGCGACACAAATGGAAATCGAGTTCAACTCAGAAATATGCACATCAGGGGGTGCCCAACAGAGAATTTCATTTAGTTTTTTAAATTTCCACACAGTTGCTCCCTTAACCGTTTTTTAGGAATTGAATTCTTCCTTCACCGTGCTAAATGGTACCTACAGTCTGGATTATACAGGAGCCAATTTCTTAGCTGAACTTCATTTATATTTTGCTGTAATCTTTAAAGATGTTTTTTAGTACTCTACCAAATATTTTCAGCTTGACCAGAAACTTATAGGAATAAAAAAGGCCACTACTTCTCAGAATCATGTTCAAGTTAGCACCAGAAGTTGTATTATCAATTTATTTCAAATTTGTATATTTAAAGAAATTATTATAAGAACATATTGTTGGAAACATATCTCCAGAACTTACCAGCAATAGGTAGGCCCACCTGAAAATCTGCCCGTACCCATTACTGCCCCATAATAGAGCTAAGGTTTTCTTAAGATACTTTATCTGAAAGAGGGGGTACAATGTAGTTTGGAGCTTTCATATAATCTTTTCATGAATTTACGAGGCTGCTAAGCTTCAAGAAAATCTGACTTGTTTTATTTAAAATTCTGCCTCCGACCTCACCAGAGACAGGAAATGTCATATTCGAGGGAGCGTACCCCGCCCCCACCCTCACTCACCTTGGAATTTCCGGGAGCTGAGCAGTTTAGGTCAGAGCGCTGGGGTTAAAACCAGCCCCATGTTAGATGCATGCATTGAAGCTTTGTGGCTACGGTCTCCCCTGCTTCACCAGGAAAAAGATTTACATATGTGTTCTTCAGTTTGAGGAAGGGAAGAGGAAAATTTCCCTTGATACCTTCATGCAGAAGGCCTCCAAATTAAATGAACTGGGGTTCCCTTTTTTACCTACCGGATCGCCCCAGTTCTTTCTTTCCCTCTGGGCTAACAGAGGGGCCTTCCCTCCCAGGTCTGGGGCTTGGCGGGCTGGCAGTTCCCCCGCCCCCACCCAGCTGCCAGGGCGCCACTGCGCAGCTGTCCCATTCCGTTGCCATGGCAACTGGCAGCCGTAGCCGACTAAGGGGGAGAGGCAAAAGAAAGTTAAAAGGCTTAACTTTCTTTTTCAAAGAAGACTGGGTGGTGAAGTTGGAAGGTGCCTCCCTTGACCTCAAAGCTAAGACATTCAGAGCTCAAGGGAATGGTTTCTTGGATTTTAAATCCAAAATTTATTCAAAAGCACTGCAAATTAATCAGCAGCATTTTAAGATCATCTAACAAGATTAGTGCTCCCTGGAAGGGGGAGGGGAAACACTAGGTTCTACCGCAGGCTCCTAGAAACCACCCCCTAGCCCGCTAGAAGCATTTTGGGCCGGGCCTTTTCTGCCATCTGTCACTGTACAGTTAATAAAAATCGGTGTGGGGGGGAACATGAGGGGGAGGGGAAGCATTTGAAAGAAACAATATAACTTTCTTTCTTGGGTGATTAGTAGGCACAGAACTGGAGTCCAGAGTCCTGAAACAATGACAAAAAAATAAAAAAATAAAAAAACACAGAAACCTTTCCATAGAAATTAGAGTGGGAAGAAAAAATAATTTCTAAGTACAGTGGTTACAAAAAGGAGGAAAGGGCAGGTCAGCCACAAACGTAACTGTTACATTAAAACTACTCAAAAATAGCTAAAACTAAAGTTACTCATTTGTTGTTCAGGTAACATTATGGAACTGATTTCTTAGTAATTATTACCCATCTGATACATTATTAATACACAATTCTCGGGGCTGGTGAGATGGCTCAGTGGTCTAAAGCACCTACTTGGAACAAGCTTGCCTGAAGCACAGGGACCACGGTTCGATTCCCCAGCACCACATGCCAGCCAGCCGTGCCCCCTGGTGGGCTGAGCTAGCCACACACACATAAATGGATAGATGGATAAATAAATAAATAAATTAAAAAAAAAAAAAATACACAATTCTCTACCTCAGTAACCCCTAATAGTACAATTGAGAAAAGGAGTGCGGGGATAAAGAAAAGAGACTAAGTTCTATACATCTTTCCTTCCCTAGCTGCAAAGTCCCCTGTGCTTTGCTCTCCCTCTCAGAGGTGCAAGGCCCGGGCTGCACAGCCCAAGCCAGAGCTCCACCTGAGTCGCACCTGCACCTGAGCCAGAAGCCATGCCATAGGGAGGAAGGACAAGGGACAGTCAAAAGCAGAGAATCCCTCTTAAGGAAAAGCAGAGAGTGGCCATTATTTTGGCTTTCAGAGGAAACAAAAGGTTATAAGGATAAAATAAAAATTTTAATTACAGGTGATTTCCCTCAAATTTGAAAAGACCTATCAAGAAACCTGAGTGAGGGCTAGATAGCTTGGTGGTCTAAGTGCCTGTCTGGCAAGCACAAGGACCCCAGTTTGATCCCCAGTACCCACACCATGCCGGCCCCAGAATCCTGGGTGTGCTATGCATGCCCCAAAACTGGGCACAGTGGCACACGCCCGTAATCCCAGCACTGGGGAGGCTGACACAGGAGGAACACTACGTGTCTGAGCTGTGTATTGAGACCCTGTATCAATAAATAATGATATTAAAATTTAAAACAAAGTAAGAAACCTCAGCTGGGTGTGCTGGTGTACACCCCTTTAATCCCAGCACTTGGGAGGCTGAGGCAGACAGATCCTTGCAAGTTGGAGACCAGCCCGGGTTACAGAGGGAGCTCAAGGCCACCCTGAACTGCATAGCGAGACCCTGTCTCAAACAAAACAGGGGCTGGGGATTTGGCTCAGCAGTAGAACGCTTGCCTAGCAAGCTGGAAGCCTTGGGTTCAGTCCTCAGCACCAAAAACAAAACATAAACCTCCCCTAAAAAACAATTCAACCAAAAAAATACAGTAAAATTAAACAAAACAAAAAAATTTAAAAAGCTGGGATTACAGATTTGCATATTGTAATGTAGTACAGCACTGAGAAAGCTGAGGCAGGAGGTTTCCTTAGAATGCAAGGGCAGCAGCTTGGGCTACATAGTGAATTCAAGGCCAGTCTGGAACATACAGCAGGACCTTGTCTCAAACAAGCAAAATAAAAAAGGGGGAGGGGATTAAAACAGGGCTCTGGTTCTGTGATTCACTTGCCATGTATGGACTTGAGTAAATAAATTTTAGATGTAATCCTAGCATCATTAAAAGCGGGCCAAATAAATCCTACTGCCTACCTCCCAGGGAAAAGAGTGAGTTTATGCTGAAAGCAAAGAGCTATTATGTCCCCCAAAGAGAATATTTTGTGGAACCATGTTAGAGCCAATACAACTGCAGAAGGAAATATGTGACCTTCGGAATTCCTAAGCTGGTAAATCATGTCACATGCAGCTCAACATGTTAGCAGATAGCAAAAGAAAGAGGAACGGTGCCCCTTTTAAGGCTCTGGAAAACTAATAAACTTTCAGAGAGCAGAGTAGGTTCTTTCAAGGGTGAACTACAGTATTCAGTCAGAAAAGCATTGGAAATGGCAGAATTAAAGACCAATGCTGGGCCAGGGATACAGCTCAGTGGCATAAGTGCCTGCCTGGCAAGCGCAAGGTCCTGAGTTTGATCCCTGGTACTGCAAAAAAAAAGAAAAAGACCAATGCTAATTCTGTAATGGAATAAAGGACAGAAAAAAAAAAAGACAACTATGGTAGCATTTTGATAAAATGTTTAAAATTGTTTACACTAAGAAAAAGGGTTTCAAGGGGCTAGGGAGATGGCTCAGTGGAATAAGTGCTTCCCTGGTAAGCGCAAGGGCCTGAGTTCAATCCCTGGTTCTGCAAAAAAAAAAAAAAAAAGAAGAAGAAGAAGAAGAAAAGGGGTTTCAGAACCCTGGCACATGCCTGTAATCCCAGCACTTGGGAGGCTGATGCAGGAGGATCGCTGAGAATTCAAGGCCAGCCTGGGCTACAAAGTTAGTTCAAAACCAGCCTGAACTGCATAGTAAAACCGTACCTCAAAAAGATTAAAAAAGAGAGAGAGACAGACAGACAGACAGAGAGAGGAGATGGGAAGGAAGAAGATTTAGGGTAGGGATAGAGCTCAATCACAGAGCTATAATACTTGGCGTGTTTAAAAGTAAAGTGCTAGTGCTGGGGAAATAACTGGGTGGTCTAAATGCCTATCTGACAAGCTCAAGGACCCAGATTTAATGCCTGGTACAACATGCTTGCAGTGCCAGCCCTGGAACTGGGCATGGTGGCACATGCCTGTAATCCCAGAGCTGGGGAGGCAGAGACAGGAGGATCACTACAAGTCTGAGCTGCATAGCGAGACCTGGTACCAAATAAATATTTTTTTTTTTTTTTTAAAGCAAGGTCCTATATTTGCTCCCTCATTCACGGAAGGAAGGGAGAGAGGAAGCAAGGGAAGAAAAGAGGGAGAAAAAAATTAAATTCAATCAGGAAAGGAACAAAGTATTCTACTGTCCACTCTTTCTCTTTCTCTTTCATATCAGAAAGTAAGGATTCGGATCCACTCCCTCCTTCTCATCCTTACGCTGCACAAAAGGCACATGGGCTGAGGCCCCTCTCTCTTTGGGAAATAGGTTTTGTAGCAGCTGACAAATCGAACTGGGCCTCATGCCAGGAGTCAGAGTCCAACCATAATATTCTTTAAAGAATGGCACGCAGTTGTCTTGTAAATCTCCTGGACAGTCACAGATCAGAAGCTGGCAAGGATGACGACATAGTTCTGATGGAATGTGTCTTATCTTAACCTTGAAGTTACAGATCTGCTCAGGAGCTGCAATAAGAAATGAGAAATGCACCCAGACAGAGGAGGAGACATAATTCTCTTTTAGACAGTGCGACCCAGTGTATTAGGGTCAAATGAAACACAAAGCCAGACGGACAATTTAAGGCTAGAGCCTAGACCAGATAAGGCATCACGCTGGTGGCTCACACTGAGCCTGGGGGGAAGTGTCCCCCTGTGAGAAATGAGACCCAAAGGCAGGGTGACGGAGTGATTAAGGTAGAATCCCAACTCCGTGACAGAGGAAGAGAAGAGTGCAACCATATCCTTGTGGAAATCTTCATGGAAAGGGGTGAACAGCTTGTAAAGTTTCTAGAATTTTTCAAGCAAGACAGCTCTTATAGCCTTCTCTTGAATACAGACAGAACTCTCCGGTAAAAGCATTAACCACTATAGACAGACTTTGGAGGCTAGTCCCCATATAGACACAGAAGAGAAGCTTCAATCACCACAGTCATGGCCAGGCGTGGTGGTGCACACCTGCGACCCCAGCACTCGGATCGCCGGGAGTTCAGGACTCTGCGCTCAGGCTGAGCTACAAAATGAGTTCAAGCCAACCTGAACTACACACATGATGGGACCCTATCTCAAAACCCAAAAGCCAAAACAAAACCCAAAAGCCTATGAGCAAAGGCAAATTCCTTTCACAGTCTTCTAAATGCTGAGGGAAAAGCACCTAATCCAGCAATTTGGACAAAAATCAGTCTTGGAAAAACATTAAAGAACTTTGTGGTCAGACACAGAATCCACATTTCAAACTGCTGACAGGGGACTCTTCAACAGAGAGAACTATTCTCCCCCCAAAAGACAAAGGGTGAGGAGGTAAAGCAGAAGAGGGGGGTGAGTTCCATATATTCTGAGGGTAAAAGAAAACATTTGAAAATCCATGAGGGGGCCGGGGAGATGGCTCAGTGGAATAAGCACTTCCCTAGCAAGCGCAAGGGCCTGAGTTCAATCCCCAGTTCCGCAAAATAAAATAAAAATCCATGAGGGTAAAAGAAAACATTTAAAAATCCACCATTTCCCAGCAGTTAATTATAGCTGTCTTTACACAAAAGGTAGGAAGACCCAGAAAACAGGTAAAATGCTCAGCTCTTGGTATTATTACCCCCCCCCACCACCACCCATACACACTGGAGATTGAACCCAGAGCCTTTGCACTTGAGCTACATCCCCTGCCTTTCCCCCCGACCCCCTGTTTCGTTTGTTTTTTGTTTTGATTTTTAGA